AGATTTCATGCTTGCTAATTACTTGGAATGATTTCTCAGAAATTCCCAAGACTAGCTAGATTAGTAAAGTCCATCAAGGTCACCATCTTCTCCCACTAAATAAATCCAAGATATTTATAACGATTTGGCCAATCATATCTAACGAAATGACTCGCAGATTGGTCGAAAGGCACACAAATGAAAATTATAATCAACCCTTCGTTCAAAGGAACGTGTGGGTTATGGCTAGGCTCCGTTTGTTTTGTGAAAAATGAATAATTTTAAAAACATTTTCTACAAATGATCGCTTGTATTGCTCGAAGTAATTAGTCAATGAAAGATATTTTCATTATCGACAACAATTTATGTCTAAATATTTTCGTGGACAATTAAAATATTTTTTGTTCATTCCGTTTCGTAAGCGATATGAGCGATTAGTTTTAGAAAAATGTATTTCAAAACATTCATTTTTCGCTAAATAAATGTAGTCTAAAAATTTAGTAATTTCCATTAGATAAGAGTGAAGCCATCTTGCGTAATTAATGAGGCGAGTGACCAACTAACCACAGTGGTGAAGTCAAGAATGGAGGACTTACATCTTCTGTTGTACTCCGTTCCTCCTAGCTAAGCAACGAAAATGCAAATTTATGCATCTGGATGACCACACGTATCACAACTTTGTAATTAAGAAATGTTTAAACTTTAGGGACGGTTAGTTGATATAGTCTCAATGGTATTGATCCAACTTATTATCGACTTACTTTCTTGGCCTTTTTGGTGTTACGAATATACTTTCCAAGTCAGCTTCCGATCATCGAACTAATTCCACATGTTCGACCCGGTCAAATGCAAGTCATCTACGTACGTGGGAATAAAGAGAGATTCACAAAGAGTTAATACTCTTGTGACCTAACTCTAAAAGCTTGGATTCAGCACACTAAATTGAGCCGGCGACCTTCGGTTTCTTTTAGGCCAGTCATTTGATTCTTGCTCAGCCCGTCCCTCGAAGTTCTCATTACCGGCTTTCCTTCATCGTTCATATTTCGATACTTGTGATTATCGTACTAATGGAGCAAAGGCCAAATCTCATGACCATTTTGCAATGTTCAAGTTGCCGTGGGGGCACTTATTCACGCATACCCTTTAAAAATGGCTTTCTTGTACTAAATGTTTCAGCAATGCGCTAGCCTCGTTAAAGTGCATTATGGTGTTGACCATGACGTTTTTGGTTCCTGACAAATGCATACTGAACCATCCCCAAACGATATTCCCAAGTTTTGCTCTTTCCTCTCTGTACTTTTGTTTTTTCTATACGATACTGATCTAAAAAGATTCGGCCATTTAGAAGGTAACACAATGTTGACAACATAAATATTCGTCACCAATAAAAATTTATGCTAAGATACATGGGACATGACTCGCGATTCAAGCGAATCCATCAAAGAGATACAGAGTTTTTATTTTTTGTTATACAGTAATCTAAGAGCTCAATTCCAAAAATTCATTACTGTACACACTTACCCTCAAAACCTTAAAAACGATTTATATAGACGTCACTTGGGACGACCCTCCAAGTATAGACAAATCCCGTGACTTCTAATTAACTTTTAAATTTCCCAAGACAAGACTAACAATCCCTAGACCAAAACATAAATAAGAACATTGACTCTTGGACCCTAGAAGTAAAATACGTTTCATTGGGCTGAACAACAACATAAAAATAAAATAATAAGACTCCCGCTCCGATTTGCCGACCACCTTTAGTATTTTGAACACAATTTCCTCTAGAAGACTCCAAATTGCTTGAAACTTGATTCATTTGATAGTTTACACATAACTTATTCCAATCATATATTATTCGACCACATTGAAGCACGAATTTCTCTTAACTATCTGCTGCCAGTGATCTCTAAAATCCAGCAATAAGCGTTGCACTTAACTGTTCATGTCGTTTTTTATATAGGAGATCGCATCATTTAATTTGAGCTAATCGGTGAGTTGTACTATGTAGGCCTTCTCAACCTCTCCGATAAAATTGGAAGTGCTATTTATTTTTCTTTTTCTTTGCAGGTTTATTGACAAATAGAAAGAGTACGTGATGATTACTATCAGTATTGATGCTGGACTAATGATTCGAATACCATGTAATAGCCACGGTGATAAGGGAAAAAAGATTTGGATGCTTTGAACAAATACACCTCGAGCCAAACATCTTCAGGGAAATGATGCATTTCCCAAAGCTCAACCAAACACAGTCTATGGCAAGTTAATCCATCCTCGGGACCCATGAAACAGAGAGATTAAACCCTAATTTTGTCTTTTTGCAACTTGAATTATTCAAAACGCGCGTTTATTTTCAAGGATGTTTGCAGAACTCCATGTTTGAAAGATTTAAGTGGAGGGTGGAGGAGACAAGACAAGATCGAGTCCAAGTCAAGCCTTTTTGTTCTTGCTTCCTTGTCCACAGGCGGGGAAGAGAGTAAATGAGTCGTCCGTGAACTTTGCAGACCTGCAGACCCTACGATTGCATTAATCTCGAGATTTGGGGAGGGATTATCCGCCAAACGACAAGTACTTGGTGACAAAATATCAGATCAACGCGGTGAAGAGCATAAGAAAGGAACAATAATATCTGATCAGGCGGTCTAATCCACCTTGGATTTGACGGTTAGTGAGGGATTAGACAGCTTAAATACTTAAATTATAGATGGATTAAACCTTTGTGTGAATTTTTCTTTACACTGACGATGTATGCTTTAATTTTCCAAACTAATGGTAGAGTAATAAATTATTGATCAGTTTTTACTGTAGATTTTTCTAGAATTCTCTAAATATTTAAGCTAGTTAATGAATATGTGATTTGATGTTTAAATGGTATAACGCTCTTCCTCATGCGTGAGTCAGGCTTTGGGCAAAAACTGAAGTGTGTAAATATATAATGGGGATGCAAATAGTGATTATCCAAAAAAATTTGAAATCAGAACCACTCCTACTCTGTTACTATTTGTTTGTGAAGTTCAGTAGAAACTCGATAATCTTTACATGGGGAGATCATCAAGAGAGTATCTTGATTTGAGCACAAATACATATTCAATGGGACTTATCTTCACTCAAATATTTAAGACCACGATTTATAAACCGATTAGAATATCTTAACTGCTTGAAGCCATATAGTTGTGCGATGTAGGGATTTCGTCTGACACCCTTCCTCATGCACCTTGATAATCTCCAACTTAGGCCAAGTCTAACTTTATCTAGGCAATCATTTTACACATGTCGTGGTTTCTCTTTCTCGCCTTGTTTACTCTCTATTTCGTTGTATTTGTGTGCCTAATCCTTATATATGTCTAAATTTTAATCTCTTTCTCGTTGCTATGTACTACAGCTTTGCAGTGCAACAACCATTCGTCACCAACTCAGAACAGTTTCTATACCAGAACACCTGTCGTGACCCAATCAACTGTAATGTTAATTTTTGGCTGACAGCCATGTTGATCATCTTGAGAAACCTTCTCCGAGATATTTAATCAAACACGAAACCCCATTTAAGGCAAACCAGTAAAATTCAGCTTTGAACGAATTTTGTTCACTAAATTTTGAGTGTACAAATGAATTTGCAACAAGATAAGATTAGAACACCGAGACTTTACTGAGGAACGAAAACTTGAATCTGATATGACATGAAAGCGATGTCAACTTAAAAGTTAACACAATGTGACACGTCTCGATCCATTTTCCAAACTATAATGACACGCCCCATGAATCCTCAATCAATATGAAGATGGGTTGCAAGAGGAGTGCACCATCTTTATGGTTCACCTTTCGCGTCACTCTTGCGTCAGATCAGACAAAACAAAGTCAATTTGTATTTGGTTTCCGTCCATTTCGTTCTTGGACAAATGACTTCCGAGCGCTCCTTTTTTCTGGCTAATTTTTTGTTTCTTTCGACGAAACTAACAAGGTCATCAGCGAGTAATAAGCCCATTTCCAGGCGGACTCACCGTCGATGATGCTGAGAGATATTTGTGAGTTTTGTGAAAATGGATGCGCGCGTGTTTTACGCGTTCAACTCCTTTTAGTAGACTTGCTTTCAAACTATTAATTATAATTTAATGAACTCCACATATCATAACTTACACATCGGTCGAAAAGATAAAAGTTTTTGTCAAAGAGGGATTATTGTAAAGCAAATCTTATTGTTGGCCCCAAAAAATAGAGATTTAGATGATGATTACAAAATCGATCTACCAAATGAATAATACTAATAATGATGATGATAATAAACAACAACAACAACAACAATAATAATATATTTGTCGAATTCGAAGAAAATCGTTGTTAAGGCAAAAGAATAGGAAATATTTATAAACAAAATTATCTAAAAATTCATGAACCTATTATACTTTTGCCAATTCAGTTATAAACCTTTTAATTGTGTTAATTAAATCTTAAATCTTTTAATATTTTGTCAATTAAGTTCATTCGATCAATTTTGACTGGAAATCTCTGACATGAATGTCGGTTATTTTATGTGGTACAGCCGACGTTGATGTAAATAATTGTTTAATTAATTAAATTTTCTTTTTTTTTTCTTTTCCTTTTATTTTATTGTGGCCAGCGACTTAGGCGAGGGCAACCCTCGCTAGGGGTTGGAGAGGGCGGCCCTTGCCAACCTAGGCCTGGGTAGCTTTCGCTTGCACGGTGGAGGGAAAAAGGGAAAAGAAGAGAAGAAAAAGGAAAAAAGAAAAGAAGAAAAAGAAAAGAAAAGAAAAGAATAAATAAATAATGTAAGCGTCGACCATGTAATGTCAAACCGTAAACGATTTGCGGTCAAAATTTGACGAACAGAGTTGTGCTCGTATGTGAAGAGGAAGAGAGAGAGAGAGGAGGGGCCCACAGCGAGAGTTTGAAATTAGCTTTGACTGGTGGGCTACCGTGCAACACGTGTCGCATAGTGAGTGGCTTTTGCACGAATGACTTGAAATAACTGGGTTACCTGATATTTTCGAACGAGGGGAACTAGTCAATTCTCTTTCATGAGACGGGAAGAAGATAGGAAATTTTCACGACAGGAAAATTCACGTGGAGCTCACAACAACACGGGCAACATAAATCCACATGTTCACTCCCTCTGGCCCTCCACCACTCGCCTTCACAACCCATATAAAAAACGCAAGGGGCCAAAGAGATCATTGCACTCGAGACGCAGACGCAGCAAGAAACCGCCGTCGCCGCCGGCAATGTTCAGCTTCAACGTCTCACCGCTGCTCTCCTTCACTCCCTCGCTGACCTCAATCACGCTCGTCCTCTTCACCGCCTTCCTCACCCTCAAATGCCTCCGCCTCCTCTTCTCCGCCGTTGCTGCCACTAACCTCAACCTGCCGCCGTCACCGCCGAAGCTACCGATCATCGGGAACCTCCACCAGCTCGGCAATTACCCGCACCGCTCGCTCCAAGCCCTGTCGAGACGCTACGGCCCCTTGATGCTCCTCCACTTCGGGAGCGCGCCCGTCCTCGTCGTTTCGTCCGCCGACTGTACGCGTGACATCATGAAGACCCACGACCTCATTTTCTCCGACCGACCCAGGTATGGCCTTAGCCTGTCAACCCATGTTCATGCATCTTAATTCTCTGTTAGTGTTATATTTTCTAGCATTTATCATTGGAGAAGGTCCCGGTGGACTACAGATATGGACATTAACCATGTGTCAACGCGTCGCTCGTGTCATTTCTTCGACTCAGGTCGACCCTGTCCGCGAGGCTTCTGTACCACCGCAAGGACGTGTCGCTGGCGCCGTACGGCGAGTACTGGAGGCAGATGAGGAGCATCTGCGTGCTCCAGCTGCTGAGCAACAAGAGGGTCCACTCGTTTCGGACGGTCCGAGAAGAAGAGATCTCTCTGTTGATGGGCAAGATCGAGCAGCATCGCTCGGTGGACCTGAGCGACGCGTTCGGGTCGCTGACGAACGACATCATATGCCGGGTGGCTCTGGGGAGGAAGTACAGCGAGGGCATGCAGGGCAAGAAGTTCAAGGGACTGTTGGCGGACATGATGGGGTTGCTGGGCATTTTCAACGTTGGGGACTTCATCCCGAGCCTTGGGTGGATCAACAAGCTGACTGGTCTGAATGCAAAAGTGGAGCGTGTCGCGACGGAGTTCGACCAGTTTCTCCATGGGGTGGTGGAGGAGCACCGGAGGAAGATGGAGGAGAAGAGCATCGGCGGCGGAGGTGAAGATGGGAGAGACTTCGTGGACGTTTTGCTGGATATTGAGAAGGATAAGAGTGTTGGTTTTGCTCTTGGTGCCGACAGCATCAAAGCACTCATCTTGGTAAGCTCACTTTCTTTTCAGACAATGTTGTCTGCCCGTACTTTTTATCGAATAAAAAATTTCTCCAACCAATTGTTTATAGATGAATTGCAAATATAAATATTACTCACATTTGAATTAAGTATTCTTGTGCATGTGCAGGACATATTTACAGCTGGAACTGATACAACGTACACAGTCCTGGAGTGGGTCATGACCGAGCTCTTAAGACACCCTCGTGCCATGAACATTCTCCAAACCGAGGTCCGCAAAATCGCCATCGGCAAGCTGAAAATAACCGATGAGGACTTGGAGAAAATGCATTACCTGCGAGCAGTCCTCAAAGAGACTCTCCGCCTACACCCTCCGATCCCGCTCCTCGTCCCACGACTATCGACCCGGGACGTCAAAATCCGAGGCTACGACATCGCGGCAGGGACGATGGTGATCACGAATGCGTGGACCGTTGGGAGGGACCCCAGCACATGGGACGAACCGGACGAGTTCAAGCCTGAGAGATTCTTGAACAGCCCGGTGGACTACAAGGGACAGGATTTCGAGCTGATTCCTTTTGGTGCTGGGAGGAGGGGTTGCCCCGGGACGTCATTCGCGATGGCGACCAACGAACTTGTCTTGGCAAATCTGGTGAACAAGTTTGATTGGGCACTGCCCGAGGGTCTGAAACCGGGGGATTTGGACATGGCGGAGTGCACTGGTCTTACCATCCATAGGAAAGTTCATCTCCTTGCTGTTGCCACTCCATTCCCGAGTTAAGGTTGTACAAGGCTGTGAACTCTACGGGCATGTGAGTATATTTGTATCGTACTCTTAGGTTCCATTTATTTTACAAAAAATGAATGATTTAAAAAATATTTTCTTAAGGCTTCGTTTGTTTCGCACCCTTATGTAGTAATTGACATGTCATTCGTATCACGGATATTATCATCTTTTGGAATGGTAAAAAAATTAAGTTTTCTCGCCTCGTAATCTTTTCTGATCAAGTGGTCTAAACCACCTTGGATTTGATGGTTAGTGCGGGATTAGATAGCTTACATCCTCAAATTAAAGGTGGATTAAACAGTTTGTGTGAAGTTTTCTTTTATGCTGACGGTTTATGCTCTAATTTTCCGAACTAAAAGCGGAGGATTTGGACATGACCGAATGCACTGGTCTTACCATCCACAGGAAAGTTCGTCTCCTTGCTGTTCCACTCCATTCCCTAGTTAAGACCCATTATCAATTACCTTATATGTATTGTTGTAAACTTGAGGCGAATGCAATAGATCTTGTAATTAAATCAACGTGAGCGAATAAAATCACTAGATATATCAATGCGGATACGAGAGATTTACGTGGTTCGATCTGAGTATCGATATTTACTTTACGGAGAGAGCCGGCCATAAATAATCTACTAATCAATCGAAAAATTATAAAGTTACAATCGATCACAAACTCATGTATTTTTCAGCCTCAATATCCACCTAAACCCACGGTGTTTAGCCTGATGTAATTGCTCCATAAAATAAATCAACCCCAATTATCTCGCAACTTGAAATACTTTCTCCACGAAGAAACTCCTACTAATTGAATGATTCTCTGGTTGATTATCTTCTGGCGAGTGTTCGTACTTCTCTGATCTCATGCTTGTATATGTGCGGTGAGATACACAGAGACAAACAAAGCAATTGTTTGGCCCGACTCCTAAGGACGCTCAGACTATATTCGTAATATCCAACTTTTGGGTTGTACTAAAAAACATAAAACTTTTGTCCCAAATCTCCAGTTAACTTTTCAATCAATCAATCAATATTATTTATGAATTTTTTTAATTTTATGGCCTTCAAGATCAAATATACATTTTTCTTTTCTTAAAAAATTCATCGAAGAATTCTGAAAAACTTAAAGGACTTGTAGAAGCCACACTTCCGAAATCGCCTATATATTACGAATTGGTCTATGTCTTCCAATTCTAGTCGGGGTTCGTACATAGACTCAAAATTTGAGACAAGGTTTTAACAATAGTCGATGACTTTTAAGATGTTGGATAAAAAAGGTAAATGAAAGTTTACAAAAACAAGAAGCTTTTTTTTTTTTTTTGGGTTAGAGATTAGAGAACTCCTTGGTAACTTCAGAAAAGTCAGTAACTTAGAAAACAAATGAACGTTGGTAACTTACTCAAATAAGATTTGATAATATAAAACTAATTGATAAAAGTAATTGAAGGCCAGACATATTCGTAAATCAACTGTTGGGAAGTACTAGAAGACATAAACTGTCAAACAGTAAATCAATCAATCAATCAAGAAATGAAAAGAGTTATGGCCTTCAAGATCAAATATACATTTTTCTTTTCTTAAAAAATTCATCGAAGGATTCTGAAAATCTTAAAGGACTTGTAGAAGCCACACTTCCGAAATCGCTCATATATTACGAATTGGTCTCTGTCTTCCAATTCTAGTCGGGATTCGTACATAGACTCAAAATTTGAGACAAGGTTTTAACAATAGTCGATGACTTTTAAGATGTTGGTAAAAAAAAGGGTAAATGAAAGTTTACAAAAAATAAGAAGCTTTTTTTTTTTTTTCGGGTTAGAGATTAGAGAACTCCTTGGTAGTTCACACAACTAAAGGTTGCAATTGCATATAATAATTGGTAAGAAAAGTTCATTAAATCTGGTAAACAATGAAAAAGTTTTATGGCCAAAGGTAAGAGAAGTTGGTAATTTGAAAAAGCCAAATAAACATTGAACTAACTCAAAAGAGTTGATAAAGCAAATCTAATTGGTAACTCAATCGAAGAATAGTTGGTAATCGGTGTAATCAAGGTTGACAAATTATAACTAGAATTGGTGAATTTTAACGGGTTGGTGGTTTGGCGAGTAAGACAAATAAAAGTCGAAAAACAAATAGATATTGGTGAGCAATTTAAATAAGAGTTCGTAAACCAAAATTAGTCAGTGACCTAATGCGAGAAAAACTAAGAAGTCACACAAATAAAGATTATTAAGCTTATATAAGAGTTGATAAATACAAGGCGCACATATAAAAATTGGCAAACGACAACAAAGGTTGAGAAAAAAAGAAATTACTATTAGTAAGTAACTTAAATAATGTCGGCAACTCAAAACTAGTTGATAATTTAATAATAACGTTGGTGAAAAGATCGGTAAATTTAGGTAAGAGCCGGTAAATTTAAGGCGTTGACAAAAAATGCAAATCAAAATTATGAAAAGACAAGAAAAGTTGAGAATTTGCTAACCGTAAAAAAAAGTTGGTAATTTAATTTATAAAAGTATTTGTGTATTATCCATAAATTATCGAAAAATAAAAAAAAACCGATAAAAATTTTATTAACATATGTGATGAAAACATCCATTTTTTTTCTGCCATCCAACCTAAAGGACACCCCATGACATGGGGCCCATGTGACCAGAGGACTCTCGCGATATCTCTATCCAGTGAACTGCAAAATGCGAATGTGGTCCCTATTGCGGCAGCTAATGGGGGGGTTGGAGTCTGGAAACTCCATCAACGTTTTTCGCATCGATTTGACGTCAATAAGAAAGGAATCGTGTCGATCCGACTCATGGAGAATGGAAAGAAAATTAACCATGGAAAAGTCAATTGAAATCATGGCAAGCAATTGATCAGCAATGGCCCCACGTGTCCATGCCCATCACCAAAGGTCGTTTGCTATGAAGGCTTAGGGCCCGTTTGGTGAACGCCAAAGCAGTGTTTGATTACATTGCTTTTGTTTAAGAATCGGTTTGGGAGCAATGCGTTTGTTTAATTTTTTGATTCCAGGCGCAATTTTGTCAAAAATTATTTCCAGAATCAGTTTTGGAGCAGAATCAAGAATAAAAAAAAAGTAGCTTCTTGATTCTGGAAATAATTTTGAGAATCAATTTTTTTTCTACTTCCTTTTCTTGGTTTTTAATTTAGCTTCTAATGTCCGGCCCGAGGACCGCCCTCGTCGAATCTGACGAGAATAAAATATTTTAATAAAAAATATTATTAATAAAAAATATTTTACCGGCCATGGCCAGCGACTAGCCATGGCCTAAAAAAATAAAAATGTATATTTTTAATAAAAAATATTATTAATAAAAAAAATATTTTACCGGCCATGGTCGGCAACCAGGCCATGGCAAAAAAAAATAAAAATATTTTAATAAAAAATATTATTGATAAAAAAAATATTTTACCGGTCATGGTAGGCGACCAGGCCATGGCTAAAAAAAAGAAAAATACTTTTAAAAGAAGGAAGGATAGAAAGAAAGAAATATTAAACAATTTAAAATATTATTAATAAAAAGAAATTTTGTGTAGTTAGCAAACGTATTTACGTTCTTTTCTATCCCAAGAATAGAAATTTTGGACAGTAGTTACTAAACGCCTTCAAATGCTCGAAATTATTCCAAGACTGAGAATCAAAAAAGAATCATTTTTGAGTAGAAATAGTTTCCTGGCATAGAATCGTTGTCATGAGCACCCTTAGTGGTCCCGAACTTTGTCCCATGCATGGGTGATCAGTTTCTGGTCTGAAATCGAGAATCGGATCAAAAGGATTGATTTCCTATTTGTGAAATAGGGAACTAGCCCATGCATGGGACTAGCCCACTGATTCTAGAATGAGTGGGCTAAAATTGCACTGGTCCGAAAACGACCAAAAAAATTAGGGAACTAGCCCACTGATTCTAGAATTGCACTGTTCCAATTTCCGGGTGAGTCCAAAAACGACGGTGATATCTTTTTTGTTTTTTTAATCTACTTCCTTCGAGATTGCAAGATTGTTACATAGCCTAAGCTCTCGTTCTCTAGTGTTTTAAATCTTTTATCAATGAAAATTTCGATGGATATACGTTAAAGGTGTGACAAAATATGATCAAATATCATTATCTTGTTAATAAAAAATGTATCAGTCCGGCCTGGACAGTCCGAGTGATTCGGTCTCACGCTTGAAATTGGAAACATGACCGACAATCACCGATTCCAAATTTTAAAAATCGGGAACTGCTCAAAACTGACCCGTTCGATCTGAATCGAGTGCTCAGTCATAGTCGTACTTACACGTTTGGTTCAGAGCGACTCAGTTCCCGTGTCCAAATTGTATAGTGCAAGAGAAGAAGTTGGGCTTATGTTCCAATTTACCGCAGATCCATTTCCATACGGGATGCATTCTTGAATGACAACATCTCGTGACTTTAGTTCGCCCATTTTGATTGGATAGCTAGTAAAGGTTCCTGAACACCTACTATAAAAAGAACCAAGAGCCGAGGGAAGCAAAGTCGATCTGGTGTACTGAAAGAAGCTAACAATGTCAAGTGAACTACTCAGACAATATCTTTTTCCCCTTTCAATACCATTTACCTTCTTCATCTTACTGCTCTTCAAATGGTTGCTTCCACCTCCCACCAACCAAAAACACCACCACCCACCACCTTCACCACCAAAGCTTCCCATCCTTGGAAACCTTTACCAGATCGGCTCGCACCCTCACTCCTCCCTTGCAAACTTGTCCCAAAAACATGGCCCTCTCATGCTCCTCCGACTCGGCCGCGTGCCGGTGCTTGTCGTCTCGTCGGCGGATGCCGCCCGCGAGATCATGAAGACCCACGACCTTGTCTTCTCCGACCGGCCGAAGTTGAAAATCTTCAGAAAGCTTCTGTATGACTACAAGGACGTGTCGATGGCGCCGTACGGCGAGTACTGGAGGCAGATGAAGAGCGTGTTCTTGTTGCACCTCCTGAGCAACAAGAGGGTCCAGTCGTTTCGCCCGGTCCGGGAGGAAGAGGTGGCCAACCTGATCGCCGACATCGAGGGCTCGCTTTCTTCTGCGTCGCCGACTACCGTGAATTTGGGCGAGAGGTTCGCGGCGCTGACGAATGACGTGGTGTGTAGAGTGGCTTTGGGGAGGAAGTATGGGGGGAAGAGGTTCAAGGAGATACTGATGGAGTTCGTGGAGTTGCTGGGAGCTGTCAGCTTTGGGGATTATATTCCATGGCTTGCTTGGGTGGATCGAGTGAGCGGCTTGGATAAGCGGATGGACAAGGTGGCTAAAGAGCTTGATGGTTTCTTGGATGAAGTTGTGCAAGAGCATGTTGAGAAGAGGATGAAATGTGATGGTGGAGTTGACGTCCAAGAAGGCAAAGAAGATTTTGTGGACATCTTGCTTTCTATCCAAAAGGAGAGTTCCGTCGGTTTTTCCATTGATAAAGTCAGCATCAAAGCTCTTATCTTGGTACGCTAATTCTTGCACGGCCCTTTTGTTTATTGGCAAATTCTTATTCCTAGAATCAATATTCTACCGTGTGCAGAGCTATATGAACCATCGAATATATATATATGGTGATGACGGGGATATTTTAAATAATTTTTTGAATATTTTTTGTAAATTTTCTGATTTTATTTTTATTTTTTTTCCTTTCTTTTGTTTCCTATTCTTTTTGTCGGTGGTTGACGAACGCTCATCGGTCATGTGCAGTGACCGACTAGGGCTAGTCTCGTCAGATCTGGCGAGGCCGACCCTCACCCAGGCCACGGCGGCCTCCTTAGGCGTTGCCTTGGCTCAGGCGACCCTGGGCGAGGTGGGCAAGGGTCACCCTCACTGCCACAAGTGAGGGTCGGCCTCGCCAGCCCTCGCCTAAGCCACGACGGCCTCACTCGACGCTCGCTTGATGCAGGGCGAGGCGAGCAAGGTTGCCATAGCTTGTGCAAGGGTAGCCCTCGCCGGCGTTGCCTGGGCCAAGGCGACGCTTGGTGAGGGTTGGCCTTGCCGACCATAGACGCTGACCATTCGTCAGCCACCAGCAAAAAAAATAAAGAAAGAAAAAAATCAGAGAAATTATAAAAAAATTATTAAAATTATTAAGATATTACTAAAATTGTCTACGTTAGTGTCGGTCGTGCTTCGTAGGATGGCTGGTGTCAAAGTCAGCAATTTCCGATCAAAATTGGCCAAATTGACTCAATTGGTAAAATGTGAAAATATGTAGGACTTAATAGATTTAGGCCTTTTTAGACAATTTCCCCCTCAGTCCATTCTAGACTTTTGTCTCCACATGTTTTTCAATTTGTTAATTCAGTACACATCTCTTGTGAATGGATGAGGCTTAATTTTCTAATAAACACTCAATTTTAGATTCAATTCCAATTTTGCTCTCGCGTTCAAAAGTAGCCACTGATTTCTTCCAAATTATCAATTTAAGGGGCCTACTGTTGTTCCATGTGAATGCGAGGGTGTCACGGGAGCGGATTTGGGACTATAGTGAAAATTTGTGATGTTTTTTTAGACAAAAAAAAGTTCAGATAGAATTAGGATTGGACCTAAAAGTTAGGGTTTTTGTTTCTATTTTAGGGAATTAGGCCCAAACGGACAACATAATACACTTTCGGTCGTTAGCATGCAAGATCTCATTTTGGCAATCTGCACTTTAGCCAAATTTGCACTTGAATGACTCTATGAGAAAAGTTCGAATCACCGTAGACTGCGACGTGATGGTACTGATCATGTAGAGACAGATTGAAATGAACGGAGTCTTGTATAGTCTAGATCCCAGCACTCTGATTCTCTGATTGAGCACTCCTTTTGGTCAAGGAGCACTATTTTGGGACACTTTGGATTGATGGGCCAATTATGATTTCCTCTTAATTTTAATCCCCCAGTTTTGGCAACATGGTTAATCATTAGGCTAGAATACTTTCGAGCAGGCGTGCGATGGGTGTGTAAAATCAGAATATAGCGTGGTTTAATTAGTGAGGCTGACTACATTGTTGAAAATGCAGGATGCATTTGCAGCGGGAACAGACACTACGTACACTGTCCTAGAGTGGGCGATGACCGAGCTTCTGAGGCATCCAAATGCAATGCAAAGAGTACAAGCTGAAGCCAGAAGGATTGCCGGTGACAAGTTGAGCATAACCGAGGACGACCTGGGCCAAATGCGCTACTTGAAGGCCGTGATCAAGGAAACACTCCGCCTGCATCCTCCCATCCCTCTATTAATCCCCCGAGAGTCGACCCAAGACACCAAAGTGAAGGGCTATGACGTCGCAGCTGGGACGCGAGTGATTGTTAACTCTTGGGCCATCGCGAGAGACCCTTTGCTGTGGGACTCGCCAGAGGAGTTCCGTCCACAGAGGTTCTTGAACTCATCCATCGATTTCAAGGGACATGATTTTGAGCTCATTCCATTTGGGGCTGGCCGGAGGGGCTGTCCGGGAATTGCATTCTCCATTGCTGTGGATGAGCTTGTTTTGGCCAATCTCTTGCACAAGTTCGATTGGAGATTGCCTGATGGTGTGGAGGAGCTGGACATGACCGAGTCCACTGGGCTAACCATTCACAGGAAGTTCCCTCTCATTGCTTCTGCTGCTCTAGCCACTCGATAATGCTACCGAAGGTTTTTACTTATTTTTGCATCTAAGTAAGGATGATTTCCTCACATAGACATATATAATTTGCCTAGTAGGCAATGTTGTTAGACAGATCTGGCGGATGAAGTTACTTCTTCCCGTTTTCCAAATATTTCTGGCAATGCAAAGTTATTAAACAGTCTTATAGTCGGGATACTCTCTTTTCATAACGGTAGGTTCAATTAAGTATCAATTAGGCCTATATTGAAAGTTCAGTTATGGTGAAAACCGCGAACAAGGACATGCGTGCGCATGTGGTGTGAGTGAAGATGATCCAAATTAGGGATGAATTCAAAGATATCAGAGCCGAACATCATGAACCGATGTGCGAGCTCCGGTACTGGAGGAAGGTGGTGGGCTCTTTGTGAACAGAAAACGGGACAGGCCATCACATGTCTGAGCAAACGCACCAGATTTTATTTTAGCCCTGGAAATCCATCTGAGAGTCGATTCGGTCAATGCGAATCTTGGGTGGATTTTAATTTACAAAATCAGAATTGCTCTGTTTTCTTGAGTAGAGGGTGTTTAAGACAAATACCCAATACCAACAGAACGAGGCTATGATACCACCTTTAGTTTGCGGAATAGATGTGCGAGTGTATAGTGTTGGCTATACGCGACAAGGAACAAGGACCAAGAGACAAGGGATTAATATGGTTTTTTATTGAGTGGTAAAATGGATAAAAGGCTAGGCTATTGGATTAGCTCTTAGGCGGAAGGGTGTAGCCGTCTTTTAGTTGGTGTCTTTTGTTGGTTTTTTCTATACTCTTAAACGAGCAGCATCAAGCCTTTTATTTATAGGCAGATTTCACAGCCTTACTCTTGTGCAAGAGGTAAAGACATGCTGCATGTCTTCCTTTTTAATCTATACACTCTTTTACTTTTATCAAAGATTTTTTCTAGAAAAGCTCTAGAAAACTCCATACATTTCAACTACCGAGTCAAGACTAGATATTTTGTAGAATTGTTCTAGATTTTTCTCATAAATGGATCACTTCTTAACGCTCCTCCTTGATCCATTTACGCGATACTTCGAGTATGCTTCTCAACATCTCAAACTTGGCTTGTGGTAGCGTCTTAGTAAGTATGTCCGCGGCTTAATCTTTGGTTTTGCAATATTTAAGCTCGATCTCTCCACTACTTTGCACTTCGCGTAGAAAGTGGTAATTGATGTCAATATGTGTTGTTTATCCTTGAAGGACTGGATTTTTCGAGATAGTGATTAAGGGTATGCAAAAGAATCGGGAACTGCCCGGACTGCTCAGGACCGCTCGGAACCGGTAGTTCCTAAGGGAACCGGTCCGGTTCCCGGTTCCAATTTTTGGGAATCGGTGAATACCAGTTCGGTTCCTGGTTCTAGGTGTGGAACCGCCCAGTCAGATCGGACCGGTAATATAATAATAAATATTATATATTTATTTAATTTTTATTTTTTAAAAAGAAAATTTCTAAATTCCTAAACTAAATTTAATTCGCTTGACGCTCACAGCTTCACATTAAGCCAAGAAACACTTTTTTTCGCTTTCGTCTCACGCTCACTCTCACTCTCTCACTCTTCTCGGTCGATACTCACTTCATCGTCTCCAACTCTCCATCTCCGTCTCCGTCTTTTTGTCTCAGTCCTTTGGTTACTATATCGGTTCCATGGACCCACCCAGGAACCGGATCGGACCGGCGGTCCAATTCCCGGATGGATCCATGGAATCAATGGACGATTTTCGGTTCCAATTTTTCGGAACTGGTCCTTAGTGGGCGGTTCCCAGTTCTAGGGTGGGAACCGCCCACCCGGACTATGCTCACCCCTAATAGTAATCGTGGACTTGTTGTCGCAAAATATTGGAATAGGGCTCGCTTGTACTTCTCCAATGTCTTCCAGTATTCTTTGACGCCATATTGCTTGGCTATGGTCATAGCAGCTGCGATGTACTCTACTTCTGCAGTAGACTATACCATTGAGTTTTGGTTTTTTGATGCCCACGAAAACATTCTAGAACCTTGAGTGAATGCATAGCCGATAGTGCTCTTCCTGTCATTAGCTAAACTTGCCCAGTCACTATTGTTTTTTTAATAAGTTTAGACGTTGCACTTGGCCAATATAATTGCCATAATATGTAGTTCCTCGTGAGTATCTTAGAATTCTATTGAAAGCTCCGAAGTGAATTTGATTCGGACTCTACATGAACCATAATAGTAGACTTGTCGCTTACATGATTTTCGATCATGTAAAAAGATATAGGAGACTACCAATCAAATTTCTGTAAAGAGAAGCGTCAACTTTTTCTACTCCATTCTTTAGCAGCTTTTCATTTGTCACAAGTGGCGTAGCAACATTTTTGCATAGTTCATCTAGAATTTCTTCGAGAGGTTCTCGACATACTTCATTTTGTGAGATGAAAATTCATTCATTTTGGTTGAACTCGATGCCAAGGACGTAGTGCATCAAGCCCAAATACGTCATGTCAAATGCCTTCATCAGTTCCTTTTTAAATTCTTGAATCATTTTCTTATTGTACATTATTGCATTTATGTTCAGCCGCAATTTCGAGAAAAAGATGATTGCGCATGCATTTCATTTTGCATTTATGTTCATCCGTGCATGGCCTTCATTTAAGGTGTCGTTGATCACACGTGACTTCGTGATCCTCAGCCGAATAAGAAAGTCAAAAGAAAAGGGACAACATAAATGGAGAGAGAGAGAAGAGCCGCAAGAAGAATTGGCCAAAGTAAAAAAGTTGTGGGCTTCGTTTGTCCTCTTTCGTTAGCTTCTTTTGTTCCTTTCCTTTTCTATTTTCTTCTGTTGTAGCCGACAAAAGGAAGGAACGCTGCATTTTATGAAGAGCTCTTGGAAAAGGAAGAACCAGAAAGTAAGAGCTCGCTCTTACGTTTTGCTTCAGGAAAGCTCTACCTTTGTCGCTTCTAAGAGCTCCATTTAAACAAGTCCGGTGTCATGGCAACTTTCTAGTTCTTCCTTTTCCAAGAGCTCTTCATAAGATGCAGCATGCGAGGCTTCACGTGCTCCTTGAGTGAGATTTTGTCTAATTCCTCGAGTGAGATTTCTCTAATTCCTTTAGACAAATTCTAAGAGCTTCGTGTAGACAAATTCTACCCAGTTAAATTCTTGTGAGTAGAATTTGTCTAATTTCTTGAGTGAGATTTCACTATGAATTGTGAGGGCTACACACAGAGTAAATTATTGAGTGTAATTGAGAGTTGGGTGTAAAACAATGAACTAACAAGATGAGAATGGGTGGCAATTGCCAATACGTGTTTTGTGTTTCAGTAATAGAATTTTTTGTTACATTCTTCGGCTACACATTGTGATGTCTTTATATAATACAAGCTAGGGTTACGGAATTAATGAAGAATAAAATCATGATCTCTTCTCTTTGGAAAGAATTGATCTTGCTTGATGAGCGAGTGGTGAAGAGATTGTAGCTGAATCAAGACACGTCATCGTGCTCTTTTCTCTTTGGAAAGAATTGATCTTGCTTGATGAGCGAGTGGTGGAGAGATTGTAGCTGAATCAGGACACGATATCGTTTCCTTTGACACCCCCTGCAAGCTGATGTGGCGGAACACACAGTAAGCTTGGACTGTAGAAGTCGAAAGCGAGCCGTGGAGAGCCCTTTGGTGAAGATATCGGCAGGTTGATCGGTAGTGGAGATGTACTGAACATGAAGTTGATTTTTGGCGATCCGTTCTCGCACAAAGTGGTAATCAATTTCCACGTGCTTTGTCCGAGCATGAAAGATAGGATTCCCTGTCAGATAAATGGCTGAGATGTTGTCACACCAAAGAACCGGAGGGCCTTGCCAAGAAACACCGAGATCACGTAAGAGAGCCTCGATCCAAATGAGTTCAGCAGTTGTGTCGGCTAAGCTTTTGAATTCGGCCTCTGTGCTGGATCGAGCGACCGTCCGTTGTTTACGGGAACTCCATGAGATAAGATTTGAGCCAAGGAATATGCCAAAGCCGCCAACTGACCGTCTCGTGTCATGGTCCCCAGCCCAACCTGCATCGGAAAAAGCATGGAGATGGAAATTGCGGCTGCGAGTGAAGAGTATGCCATGGTGCTGCGTGCCGCGAACGAAGCGCAATATGCGTTTGACAAACTGCCAATGGACCTCCGTGGGTGCATGCATGAACTGACAGGCAGTGTTGACAGCGAAGGCAATGTCGGGCCGAGTGAGAGTAAGATACTGCAATGCACCCACAGTACTACGATAAAGAGACGGGTCCGAGAACAGCTCACCACAATGAGAAGATGGAATATCCGAGCCCGCTACACATGGGGTGGTGATAGGCTTCGCATCCTGCATTTTTGCTCGGGCAAGAAGGTCGGCTGCATATTTTGTCTGGTGAAGAAGAATACCATCCGAAGTGCGTTTTAGTTCGATTCCAAGAAAATAATGAAGTTCACCCAAGTCTTTGATAGCAAATTCCTTTTGTAGAGACTCCAGGAGAGTAGACAATGGAGCTGTAGGGGATCCTGTAATAATGATGTCGTCGACATAGACGAGCAGGAAGATACTGTATTGGGCTGTATGCAGTATAAACAGTGAGGAGTCAGCAGTAGAAGCTACAAAACCTATGGAGACGAGAAAATTACTGAGACGTTGGTGCCAGGCACGTGGAGCTTGTTTCAAGCCATAGAGAGATCGTTTTAGGCGGCAGATATGATGAGGATGGTGGGGATCAACGAAACCAGGCGGTTGATCCATGAATATTTCTTCGGTGAGATGACCATGGAGAAAAGCGTTCTTGACATCTAGTTGTCGGAGTTGCCAACCCCGAGAAAAAGCAACTGCGAGGACTGTACGAATCGTGACATGTTTCACCATCGGACTGAAGGTTTCTTTATAGTTGATTCCCTGCTGTTGATGAAAGCCCTTTGCGACTAATCTGGCCTTGTACCGTTCAACAAGCCATTTGCACGAAGCTTGATCCGAAAGACCCATTTGCAGCCAATGGGCTTACCGTGCTGAGGAGATGGTACAAGCTCCCATGTCTGATTTTTTAGCAATGCGGTGTGCTCTTCGGCCATAGCTGCCCGCCAATGCGGGTCTTTTATCGTTTGACTGTAACAAGATGGTGTAGATGGGACGGCTAC